CAAGGAGCTGGGGGAGAGTGGGGGTTCAGCGGCTTGGCGTGTGAGATATAGCACATATAGCACATATAGCAAGGGCCCGGGGGAGAGTGGGGGTTCAGCGGCTTGGCGTGTAAGAATACGCACAAAAATAGCACATATAGCTAAGGACCGCGGGAGAGTGGGGTCATCTCTTGGCGTGTAAGATATACACATATAGCACATATAGTACATATAGCAAGGAGCTGGGGGAGAGTGGGGTTTCAGCGGCTTGGCGTGTAAGATATAGCACATATAGCACATATAGCAAGGACGCGGGGGAGAGTGGGGGTTCAGCGGCTTGGCGCGGCTTCAATGCCGGGCAGGCGCGGCCGGGAGGCTTCTATGCCAGGCAAGTGGCGCGGCCAGGAGGCTTCTGTGCCAGGCAAGTGGCGTGAACACAAGTGGCACTTGTGTTGAACCTCTCTCTGTAGAGGGGGTTTTCCAAATGGCTTATATTCTACCTGAGAGGCTTCTAGCACTCGTCCGTCCAGCATTTGACCTCGTCCTGCGAAGGATTCGAAGTCTAAAACGCTGCGTGCAGGCGTGTGGCTGCAAAATAGAGACCCCTAGATATGCGCTGCAATTTGGCTCCAGGTTGCATTTCAAGCGATGTCAAGCTTTGCCAAAGGAAACCCCTTTTCCCTTTTTTTCGGGGACCCCTTTTTTTGGACCCCTTTTTTTCTTTTTTTTTTGTTTTTTTTAGCCCTGCAAAGCTTGGCTCGCTTGAAATGCAACCTGGAGCCAAATTGCAAGCATATCTAGGGGTCTCTATTTTGCAGCCACACGCCTGCACGCAGCGTTTTAGACTTCGAATCCTTCGCAGGACGAGGTCAAATGCTGGACGGACGAGTGCTAGAAGCCTCTCAGGTAGAATATAAGCCATTTGGAAAACCCCCTCTAAAGAGAGAGCACCACGCCCTCCAGCACGTCGAAGGCCGACTGGTCTGCCTTGTTGGAGAGACCCGTGGTCAGCGAGCTCTGCAGCGCGGCGATGCTGCTTCCGTGCGCGGCCACCTGGCCGTCCGTGGTGGCCAGGGCCGCCGCCGTTGCTAGGGGCGCAATTGCCGGCGCCAGCGCGCTGCTGTCCAGCTTTGAGGCCAGCTCGGCGGTGACTCGGTCGTCCAGAGACTGCCGCGTTGTTGCCGGAGGCTGCCGTGTTCACCGCCAGGTCAGTTACTTGAGCGTAGGGCGTCAGAGCGAGGGCCAGCTGTCCTGCTGTGACGTGCGTGCCGTCAGTCACCTCTCCGTTGTCCAGGACCTCCGGGATGTTGCCCGTGACAGGTCCTTCAAACATGTTTTCTTAGGAGTAGTCGTTACACGAATTCGTAACAATGGGGTGTTGTACTTTCGCAACGCACCCTCACTTGAGTCGCTATGGGTCATTCGGGGCCTTCGTAGCGCAGGGTGGTATAATTATATATCAACTCGCAACAGCCCCTACTAGTACGCGAAGTGTGGAATGACGCTGTGTCCGATGGCGTCGGACACTGGGCATGAAGCGAGACCTCTGATGAATTGACCGATGGCGTCGGTCAAAACGCTTGGGACACCTCGGCCTCATGACGAGACCGGCGAAGGACACTTGTCTCAGCGGCTATGACCTGCGGGGCATTCATGAGCCAACCTTGTCCATTCATGAACCAACCTTGCCCATTCATGAACCAACCTTGCCCTTTCATGAGTCATTGATGAATCACCCGGTTCCATTATTGACTCAAACTTGCCAAGAACCGAGTCCTCTCGGAACTGGGGCGCTTTTGCGCACTTTTCGGCCCCAAAGAGAGCGGTGACGAAGCGGTGACATTGCGGTGAGAGCGTTTTTGGGCCAAAAAGCGCCGTTTTGGGACGGTAACAAGAGCCGATGGTGAGATGGCTTAGGCGTTGATCTCCGGAGCGACGTTTCGGAGGTTCGATTCCACCCCGGTACCTCGGCGGGCTGACGTGTTAGAGACCGGTGACATCGGCGGTGACTACTTCAGCAGGCTGACGTGTTACATGGAAAACCTCGGCAGGCTGTCGGGCTCCGAGCCAGGTCCTCGGCGGGAAAACGAGCGAATTTGGAGGCCCGGGCACCACTTTCGACGCCGGACACGAAAAAACGCACTTTTCGGAGTTCGCCGTTTTCAGCGCTTTTTGCACCAAAAACGGAGCGGTGACAAAGACCGGTGACATCGGAAAAACGTTCAGCTGGTTGGAGAATTTGGCTGTTTTGCAGGGTTTGGAGACCAAAAAACGAAAATTAATAGGGGACTATAAGCCTTCTTTCCTTACTACTTGCATGGCCTCCGTCGAAGTGGTGGACAGGAGGAAACGGTCATGCCCCATAAGTGTCTTGTCGACTTGTCCTTCGCCCGGCCCATATACCACGACATCCGCAGAAGTTCCATGTGCCTCGCCCCCAAGAGAGTTGCCTCCAAGGCCTCCACAGTGAACTTCAATGGGATCACCAGCAGCACAAGCCTGCGGCTTATAGCGGCTTGGCAACCGGGCCCTCTGGAAATGGCGAGCAAGCCGAAGCGGAGCGCGTCCATAGGCTGGCCTCGAGCTGCATGATCGCAACCTCATCGTTTGTAGCAACCATCCGGCGGCGTGCCCTCTCTTCGCAGTGTACCGTGAGCCCAGGCGAGACTCTCCATGTTCCAGACGCCCACATGGGGAGGCCATTAATCCGCACAAAGCACTGGAAAAACAGCACCATCGTCGCATGGTAGGGAGCACCTGCAATGGTTTCTTGTTGCCATGGCATGCAGAACCATTGGCCACTGGACGCCCTCACCCGGCAAAACGTTGGCCTGAAAAAGATGCTCTCCTGGCAGATGAACAATCGCACACTCTTTGGTGGCGAAAGCCACCAGTCGGAAGGACTCCTTGCTCGAACGCCGATCTCCCCCATCCACGCAGGCTCGGCCTGCGGGTTTGATCAGCCTTACAGAGGAGCCAAGAGTGCCCATGCCGTGGCCACTCACCGCTGGCAGGCTCCGGAAAGAAAGCATACTGCATCCACTCCCCGACCATGGCCAGCAGTAAGAAAGTCAGATGGCTCAACCACGTGGGCAGAGTGCAGAAAAGGGCCGACGCCGCATGGCAGCTTCGCACATTTCAAAGGGCACAGGGGCCTGCAGGTCACCCGGCACAGGCGTGACTCGTTGGGCAAAGTTGCGTCTGCGTCGCAAGAGTTCTTGCAAAACAGCCTCAGCAGAGTCACAAATCTGTGTGGTAGAAGGAAAAACAATCACCAGCCCCGTTGCTCTCCGTGTACGGTTCTGTGAACTGCAGCATACCAATGGAGGATGCCACACCTTGCAGGTCATCGCAAGAACCTTCATGCAAGGAGAGGGCCTGGGCAGCCAGTCTTCGTAGCTGTGCCGTCTTGAAAAGAGCAGTGGGTGCACTGTCATGATCCGCCAAAACCAGGGTGACCTCGGAAAGCGCAGCAGAAAGCGCCTCAGCAGCAAACACAACTCCCCATGTGAAGTGCACCCTGCCAGCCTACCAAGCCAAGGTCGCACCGCACCACCTTCCATCGCTCTCTGGGGTCTCTCTGGGCTTTCTCTGGGGTCTCTCTGGGGTCTCTCTGGGGTCTCTCTGGGGTCTCTCTGGGTCTCTCTGAGGTCTCTCTGGGGTTCTCTGGGGTCTTTCTGGGGTCTCTCTGGGGTCTCTCTGGGGTCTCTCTGGGGTCTCTCTGGATTCTCTCTGTTGCTGCAATGGATTTCGATTTGTTTCACATTGACACCTCTGCCACAGGTGTGGTTGCCCCCCTTTTTTGCAGACTTAGAACAGGCAGGTGCGACTTTTTCTCAGTGCGCGAGAATATGGATGCTCGGTTTCTGCGACGATGATCTTTGATGCTTTTGGTGTGCACAGATGGCTTCGATTACAGACAGTGAATGTACAAGCAATTTTGGTTTGACATGAGAGAAAGTACTGTTGGTGGATGGGGTCAACTTGGCACTTTGCCATTTTGCTTCTGCTCCAAACAATCCTGATGTTCTACGGATGGGCGCGTCGATAGCACATAGACGCGGTCTTATGAATATCTTGGTCTTTTTTTTTGTTTGGCGGCAAAATGGGGCATGTAGGAACACATGGCTAAGCCATGTTTGCACTGCATGTGCCTTGCCTGTAATTAGGGAATTCGTTTGGGTTCGCCCTCTTTGATTGTTCATGTGTACGGAGTCTCTTCGGTCGACCGGCACAACGGTCGCCAGCTCGAAACACAGACAAAAAAGAACGCCACTTTCCAGTGTCAAGGATTTGAACCTGTCCCTTTTGTACGGTATGTGTGTTGCGGACTGTCGTTATCGACGTCCATGCTCCGCTACGTTTGCCTGTTCTGCAACGGCTTGGATCTCTGGATACGCGTGCCTTGGTGGCTTCGCCTTGCTCTGTTCAATTTTTATACACGTGCATAAAACGAAAGCTTTGTTTGATAGCATGCGCATGCGGAAAATAAGTGGGTTGACAGATGAGAACTGGGTTGTTGCTGTGAAAGCTGCAGCAGCAAATGCAAAAACAAAACATCACGCAGGTCGTTGTGAGGATTTGCGGTGAAAATTGAGAAAGACGGATAGGACTCCCTCAAATGGAGAAGTCTCCGTTGCACAGTGGAATTGTTTGTGTGTTGTGCTTTTAAGAATGGACAACTGTGGAGAACTTTTTATCTTTAGCCCTGCTACAACCACAAATGTCGAGTTGTCGGATTGGACATGAACCTGTTTTGTGACTAGATTTTATCACTCCTCAGTCGGAATGTTTTTTGTTTTTTCAATATATAAACACCCGCTTGGTGCTTGTCGGTATTTCTGTTTAGATTCCTCTCCGGTTTTATGAAGCCCGACGCACCTAGCATAAGAGTTGGCGCAGCATTACTGATTAGGCATGCATGTCAACCCAAAACGAAAGGGATCTCATAATTATCACTCTTGTGATTGTTTCTTGAATGTTTCCTCAAACGTGGCACCCTTCGTTTCTTGCCTGCCGACAGGAAAACCAGGATCAGGGCCCTTAGCTGAGGCAACTTGTTAGCTTCTGCAGCCGGCAGACGCCATGCCTTGGGACTGGGGAAGCTGGTGGGGCTACGACAGGGGCTACGACAGGGGCTACGACCGGGGCTACGACAGGAGCGATGCGTGGGGAGAGTTGGTTGGAGCGTGCGTGTGTTTACGTTTGCAAACCAGCCGTAAACAGACCAAGGCAATGCATCTGATCGCCTGGTAAAGGAGGCAAAAGGCACGCTGAAGCCGACCAGCTGGAATGCAGATTCTTAACACATGCGCGAAAAGTTGCGAACGCATTTCGGTGTGATTCTGGCGTTCAGGTGCAAGATCTGACACGCGCCAAGCGCGTGGATTTGATGGCAACGGAAAGCAAGTATCGATTATCGTGTGCCTGTTTGTGATGTCAGACTGGCATCGCTGCGCACATATCTTCACTCGTCTTGGCATGTTGCTCAGAGTTTGCTTTAAAATGCCGGTGTGTAATCAGGGGAGGCTGCGCAGTTCGCGCGGCTCGCGAAGTTACGCACTGGGAAAGTGGACTTCCGGTCGGGTTGATCGCTTTCGACAAGCCCTGCCACGTTGGCTTCGGCCGGAGTCTGATTTTGAAAGGGATGAGATGAGCTGAGATGACATGTGTGAACGATTGCCATTAAATGCTTCATCATCGTCCTAGTGCTACAGCTGAAAGCTATGGGCTCTCTGCAAGTGCTGTATACACATCAATTATCGAGTCAAGTATATCTGAGGGCCCGGAGAACTGACTCTTGTTTCAAAGGAGGCTTTATTGGGCTTCGGGCTCTGATTGGGCTCGACGATTACCTGACAAGGCCCGCGAACCTGGCCCTGAAAGCTCCAGTTTGGAATCGGTCTTCCCTTGCGGAGTGAGTTTCCTCACACTCAGTGCGTTCCCTTTGCTTTTATATACCTTGACTTTTGGCCAAAAGGGTGTGTGTAAGGTTTTCCTAGTCGCGCTTCAGGAACTGGGGCCACTGGGAGCACTGGAACGGAGAGTGGCTACTCGGAGTGGTCTATAAAAACTGTCAGGTACTAGTGTCCAGAGTCACCCTTGTTTGGACGACCAAATGGTCGTGGTGTATTTCTGTTTTTTTTTGAATCCTTATTTGTTTGGAAGGTGAAACGATGCATTGGAGCACAGGTTCCCCATTTGGAGCAATGATATCTCTCTCTCTCTCTCTCTCTGTTTCTATATGCACATACTGTGATCTATTATAAATTGTAAGGGGATGACATGGGACACACGAGCGCAAAAATACCATCAGGACACTACTCACCAAATTCTCATGTCATTCCGGGGGACAATGACGGCTCAAATAGGAGACGGATTGAAAGCTATCAAATGTTTCTGTTATACAGCATATGGTGTGATGTAGCTCATGAATTCGCAAGGTCCCCGTAGGAGAACCAAAAGGAGGCGGTTGCAAGAAATTGAGCATCATGGGACCCAAAGCCCTGGCTCACTTTTTGTTCTGACATGGCTAAAAAGGTTCATATCGGTTATACCAGGTAGGAACCGAAACACCACTAAAATGGCCACCAAGAGAGCCTGGGGGACAGTCAAATCCAGAAATGAAGGCAACTTCGCACTATCTCGATTTCTTTGCCTGGCTGCGCAGACCGCTATGCGACCGGGCTACCCATGTTTTTTGCCACAACTCATGTTTGCATTTTGGAGCACTGCATGAGCGCATGTGCTCCAGATGTTGAGAGAAACGTGAAGTCATGGAACAACTCCACACATTTCTGCAGTGTGGAAAACTCAGGATGTAATGACAGACGAAGCAGATGTCAATTCTTAGTTAGGATCACGTCTTTCAACATGTGAGGAGGTCTCCTTTGAAAAAGGATCCTTGTTTTTCCGGGCCAAGGTGGTGGAAGGATGACCGCTGGCGCCAGAGGGCGAACGAGTCCTGGGCGAACGAGTCCTGGGCCAACGAGTCCTGGGCCAACGACAGGCGACAACACCACGGGGATGCGGCTATGAACTTTGATAGGGCACCGCCTCACGTGGTTTGTGGACATGAATCCCCACCTAAACGATGTCCAGAGCATTTCCTATTCAGAGCCACATCCATAGAAATTCACCTTGACTTGTGCAGCTTCTGCTCTTCGAGACTCGTTTCACATTTTTGTATCAGTTTTTGCTCACTGGAACTTGGCTACCTGCGACTCAAGGCAACTGTACGCCCGGAGGTTGGGTCAAGGGTCTTCAAGAGGGTGGGAGTTGCCAAGGTCCCATGTCCGACACATAATTTGTTTTGACTGCAGAACAATTTCCCGAGTCTGCTTGTTGGCCCATGAGCGCTTGGTGATCGGCATCGAAGCCCACAAAGTCTAGTGGCAAGGCGGCATGTCCCCTCGAGTGGCAAACAGCTAAAACATGAATTCCGAATTTTGCGGTCCACCATTTCATTTCTTGGCAATTCTGCAAATGTGTACTTATTCCTTCTCTTGGAAGGCCCGCAGAGTTGCACATGGTGGAGAATTAGGGTCTGTGTGGCAAGGTATTGGAATTTTGAGGTTTGCACCTGCAAAATTGAAGTGTGTGTCCACA